CGTACGGGAGGGACTCAGGTTAAACAACGCTCAGCGGCGTGGTACTGGACTCCTAGTCGCTGGGGCTCACCCAGGTTCACAGGGAACTGCTTTAACAGTTCCCGCTATGCAGCACTCAATGGGGGCTCACCCCTAGCCAGGATATTGGGCTAAACCCTACTGGCAGTCCCACTCCACAGGGGCAATGACACCAACCTGTGAAGGTCCCAAACGAATTCCACCTCAGCAGTATTAATAATGAGCTTGTTAGAGCTAGAGCCTTCTCTTGATAGGTGTTGTACTCCACGAAACCGATTACCCACAAAATGGCCGCACGGGTCTCGCGAGACTATCGGGCACAAAGCCCGCGAAAATGGAGCCCTTTAAGCGTTCAGCAGTTTAGCCGCGAACGGCCGTTCGCCTGGCTGAAACCGTCGAACGCTATGTGTGTAACAAAGCCGCGAACGGACTGAATTCCCTTTTTAGTAATTCGGGAAAACTGTCCGTTCGCGCAAATTTACTCGTTCGCGGCAAAACCCTGCGACCGGCTTGGGGGGCGCGAGCAGTTCCAGTCCGCCCGTTCGCGCCTTTGAAGCCGACGGCGCGAACGGGTCGGGCCGCGAATGCCCAGCGCCCTGTGAAACGAGGGTCCCGCCTGTTCGCGCTACTAGAGCTACGGAGCAGAGCCAAACGGCAGAGAAAAAAGGTGGCGAGCGTAGCCACCCGGTGGAATAAGGGAAAAGGAAGGGAGGGGGAGGTGGGGGGTGGGAGGTAGTCGGACAAAAATTCCGTCGAGCAGGGAGAGGAGAGCGCTGGAAGAGATTGTCCCAATTAGAGAACCTCAGCCCAGTACCCTGCCCCAAAGTGAGCACAGCTCCCCTGACAGGAGAGGGTAGTCCCACTCAGGTCCCCCCTGGCCCCCAATACACTAAAGCATACCAGCAAATAAAACAGTAAGAAAAGACAAAGTACAATTAAAGCAAACATACAGTCAATAACACCTTAAAAAAACCTGACAGGAATCTTAAAGAAATCAGTACTCTGACCTGACTTGTGATGGAGCAGCAAAGAAAGAGGAAATGGTTGGCTACGCTGGGACTTATATATCCTCTGTTTTACTCTGATTGGTTCTTTCTTTAATGGTTTTTTTTCTTTGCTGCTATGGAGCTAGTAAAGAAAGTTAATGCAAATACGAAGCCTCCTGTCATGTTATAAAATTGTGAACCTGTAACAAGACCATATTAGTTGGCATGTAATTGCCTGATACGTCGGCCCGTGTTGGCCTAATATAAATTGGGCTGACTTTGAGATGGATAAGCGATGTACGTATCAAGTGATGAACCTTGCAAGGGGAAAATTTAATGGAGAGTGGGATAGGTTGAGAACCGGGAGAGTAGTGATATTGGAGAAGATAGAAATATTAGGAAATTAAAACAATGTCAATGAGAAGTTAAACATATGATGAAAGTATTTACGTGGAACATAAAATGTGTACAGATAATTTTGGCAGTATTGTAAATGTGCTAAAACTGTATTGGAAGTAAACCGATACCACCAACCCTTAAGTGAAAAAAGAACAAAATCTAAACAAAAACCTTATTTTTCAGAAAAAGCCCTAAGTACGGTTGACGTTGAATGTGTATGGTGAACGTATATACCAGTAAAATTAATGTTGTTTAACCGAGTGTATAAGCTCAGGTTTAAGCCTGACATGCTTTCATACAGTCAGTTAAGACACCTAGCCATAATAAAATAAATAGAAATGCGTATGATAAGTCGAAATGGCTAAGAGAGGACCTACTACCATATGTGGAAAGAGACATCACTATCACTGCGATGCTTATGAATGACTGAAATAGGCTGATTACTATAGTGAGCTAAGTTGTTTACAAGATTTTGGCCGCTAGGCATGACCAGCTTGTTTGGGGTATATGCAGTCTGTCCAGCCGAGGCCAGGAAGACGGTGCCTCCATGACTTTAAGCTCGACTGTTACATTTAAGCAAAGCCAGACCTCAGGGCTTTAGGAGTGGCAGGGACAGGGGATTCCACGGGGGACCTGGGATGACAGGGTTAGAGTGTCTATTAAAGATAGAACGCCACCTGGAGCTATTTCTTCTAGCATCCTGTAAGGAAAAATGAGTTAACCATGCAAAACTTTGATGCCAATTGAAATTTCCCTTGTGTAGAGCTGGCTTGCTAACTAGTGCCGAAAGACGAAGATATTAACTACCCAGTGAGAGGTGAGGCACTGCTAGTTGCCAAGTGGCTGGGAGAGGCTCTACCTTTGATTTGGGCCGTGTGGACTCGTAGCTACGATGCGTTGTAGCGGGTGTCGGCCTCTCAGTGATGGTAAATGAGACCGTACATGTGGCCGTTAGATGTGAGGCCCTAGCTAAGACCCTGCAGAAGAATATGCGAGGCACTAACTATGAGTTGGGCGGAACCTCCGTGTTGAGGTGGGGAGTTGACCTCGTGGAACCGGTATGTTCAATATTTATTCGACTAAGGTCAGCTCTTATCCCTAAAATCCAGTTCTCTTACCCTTGGCAGGACTTGTCTATTTGTGGATGCGCGTGAACATAACCGTACATGCTTTAGCAAACTGGATAGAATCAGAGAGAGGAGGACTGGAAAAAGACACCTGATGAAACTAGCGGTTGTGATGTGAACTGAAGAATAGAAGGAAAATACAGTGACTAACAGTAGGGAAAAATGTGTGCTTTTAAGAACGGAACCTAAAAAGCAGGTTTATCTAACCGAACCAAATGTCCATTAATAAGTGCAGGAAAACTGAACAGAAAAGCCTGCACGAATGGAGTGAAATTCAGCACATGCTGAAACGAACAGTGAACCCTGTACCAAGCCCTATGGTTTATAAAACAAACGAACAGTGATATTAGGAGAATGCACAACCGAACGGTTTTAAACAAAAGCTTAAGTGTTAGCATCTAGGTAGGATTTTAACAAATGAACGCATGATTCAACCAACATACAAACGGGACAAGTAAACAAATGTACGGCTTGAAGCAGATGAATGAACAGGATAAGTTAACGAACAGGCTATATGGGAACAAGCGGAAACCTGCGAACGTGTGGAATTTTAAACAAAAGCACACAAATGGTACACGTATATGCGAACGTAATGGGAGCGTTTGGTAGGCCCGAATGTGGGAACACAGCGAACGGGTTCCCATGAGTACATACGTAAGCGTTTGGTAGGCCCGAATGTGGGAACACAGCGAACGGGTTCCCACGAGTACATACGAAAGCGTGCTGGGTCTCGTGACCGGAAGCCGGCATCTGTGATACAGGAGCCAGGTCGAAAGTCCTCAAGGGGGTCGGAGAAGCTGCAGGACAGGTATTTCTGAGCAAAGGCGACACATAGAATTCAAAGTTGAGTTGTGATACAGGGGTTAAAGTGACATGAGTGCAGATAAGACACAGGTTAGACACCACTCTCACAGAGGCCCCTATGTATCTTGTGTAAAGATCACAGACTGAGGAGGGAGAGAGAGAAAAAAACAAGCAAAGAAGAGGAGAGTAAAAAAATAGTTACTTATATTAAGAATGCTTGATTTCCCATCCAAGAGTTACAGGATATGCATGAAGGCCTATATCTAGCATACACAGACACACACCACACACTCACACACATGTACATATACATATATACAAGCAGTGTATATGTACAAGTACATGCAACAATATACATACATACATAAATACAACCAATGCACAAATATATGTACATGCACACCTATACATACATTGACACACAAGCACCAATACATGTACCTACACCTGTACAAATGTGCCTACACATACATAGAGCCATATATGTGTATATGTACACATTCATCTATTCACATATATACACATATAAGCATATTCATACACACACACACACACACACACACACACACAAACACAAATATATATATTTATAAGCATACACATACACACATGAACACATATACATACATACATGCACATGAATTCAAATACACAAATATGAATGCACAGTTGCATATATAAGCATACATGCATAAGAGAATGGTAAAGCATAGTTCTATACATAGTACTTTGTATATTGATATAATAAACATGTCATTGGAGTGCCATTCAAGATGTGGATACATATGACAGAACAGTGAGATAATGTAGGGGGAGTGTTCATGTAAATTGTTGGTAGTGGTACAGAAAACCCAAATCAATATTTAGTCCTCTATTCTTACTGGTAAAAATTGGATCATTCTGGCTTCAAAAGCTTCTATTTCTTGGGTATTTTTAAAACCCCCTTTCAGTACTTTGATTTTTAGGTCCTTGATTGAGTGGTCGGGCTGGGTAAAATGGTGTCCCACCGGAGTGCAGTAGGATTCTTCATTTTGGTGTTTAATAGAGTGTCTGTGCACATTCATTCTGCCATTTGATTGCTGGGTGGTTTCCCCAATGTAGCATCCTAGGTGGCATTTGTTGCATTGAATCATGTATACCACATCGCTGGATGTGCAGGAGTATGATTCTTTAATGTTGTAGGTTTTATTGTTGTGTGTGGCTGTGTTGTCGCTGCATATGTGCTGGCACAGTTTGCAGCGAGGTTTTTGCATTGTCTGGTCTCATTTTCTTTATTCTTCCCATCAGTGGGTAGCTTCCTGTTTATACATTTTTGTTGGAAGTTTGGTGGTTGTCTGGAGGCCAAAATGGGTGTTTCAGAAAAAATGTGTTTACACACAGCCGCAGTCTTGCCCAGTGAGAGAGATGAAAGGCCATTGCAGGCTTTCGTAGCTGGATGGGGAGCCTGTGAGATTCTATGTCAGTATCGGCATGTCAGAGCATTTCTGCAGGTTTCCACATGTCAATGCTATACAATTCCCGGGCTCGCAAGCAGACAGTGCCCCCGGCAGAGGTGCAGTCACCATGGGACCACTGGACCATTAGGGAATGTTGTGTCCCCCCTCCCTTGCCAGACGTTAGAAGCAGGGAGGGGGGATAAACTTTTACAAAGACAAAAAAAAATTGTAATTAATAAACTAAAACTGCTTCTCTGCCCCCTCCCAACAGACCACAAATTCTCATACACACTATATTTACTATATACATACACACACTCTGTATCCCCTGTACACACTGTATGCAGTCTACATACACATGCATTCATTATACACCGCATACTGGACCACTAGAGATCGGAATGTGCCTGTCCCTTCAAGGTAAACATGAGGGAGGAATAAATTTCTCTTTATAATTTTTACATTTAATAACTAAATAAAGCCCCCACTCCTACATACACACTGCACCCTACTTATACACACTTTAACCCATATACACACACTGCATTCACTATCTACACTCACTATATGCCCTATGCAAACACTACATACCCGTACCTCAGATACA